GCGGCCCTCTCCTGCCCCCGTCAGCCTGTGTGAAAACCCTTCCTTATGCTTCACTGGTCCCAGGCGGGGGCCTCTAACCCCTCTCCCTCTCTAACAAGACCCCATTGTCCCTCCTGCTGTGGCCTCCAAAATAGCCCCCTGCTGGGCCCCCAAGATGGAAAGCAGGGAGGGGGGTCGTGGACCTCCCTCCCTGGGGGCCCAGGGGGAAGAAGGCAGCTCACAGGGCCAGGCCAGGCTGGCTGATCTTCCCAGGGTATAGAAGCTTCTAGAATCAGCCACCTCCATCCCCACCCCGACCCCCACACACCTGCCACCTTCGGGAAGCCCTTCTGCTTGGCAAGCCTGCAGACCCTCATCTTTCTCGGCCAGGCCTTTAGGGCCCACCGGCCCAGGGCAGGCTCAGCCCCCGGGGGGCAGAGTAGCCTGGCTCCTGGCGCCCATGGCACTGCCACCTGATTTTCACCTGACTCTCTCTGCTTCCCTTACAGAAAGCACTCCGATCAGAGGTAAGCGTTCCTCTCTCACGCTCTCTGGCTGCCCGCCTGCCTCCCAGGCCCCACGGGGGCCCAAGCCTAGTCACCCTCCTGCCCGGTGTCTGTCCAGTGTCTGTGTCTCTGTGTCCTCTGTGGCCGGGGGGTGCCACGTGTGGCAGGGACAAGCCAGGTGGCCGACCACTGCCCTGGGCAAAGTCATCTGTCAAATGGGAGTGGGGGAGGGAGAGGATGGTGGTTCCAGCTTCAGGAAGCCAGACTAGGCCTGGGTGGGAACCAGGACCCAGCGTCTGGCACTAGCTTTGCCAAGTAATGCTGTGTGTGCCAGAGCAGGCCTCCTGCCCTCTCTGGGCCAGCTTCTCCACCACCCCTTGAGGTCAGAGGGAAGTGGGGAACATTTCTTGGGGCCACAGCCTGCCTCCGTGGCCTCCAAAGGCAACTGTCCTATGCTTGGGGCAGGCACCTAATTCAGATGAAAAGCTGGAGAGGGGCAGTCTTGAAAGCATGGACTGGAGCCTCTGCCTCCTGGGTCCAGGTCAAAGCCGGTGCCGGAAACGCACACACTTGGGGCAAGTCCCCCGTCATCACTTACTCAAGGCCCCTAAGGACGAGGGTCCAGACCCAAGGCACATACTGACCCTCAGGCTTTCAGGCCCTCGGGAGATGGTTTCTGAAACCCTGACCTTTTATTTATACACAGGCATGGCCACATCGCTTGACCCAGACCTGGGATCAGAGGCAACCTGAGCCATGTCCCGTGTGGCAGGGGGGCTCACTCCAGCCTGGTGATTTCAGAACTCCCCAGGGATGGGGACGGAAATCTCAGCCTCCCTGTCTCCTGTACTCCCATCAGATCTCGGGCCCAGGCGCCGAGGAGCCCTGGTGGCATAATGGGTTACAAGCTGGGCTGGGCGTCACCAGGTCAGCAGTTCAAAGCTACCAGCTGCGCCGAGGGAGAAAGACGGGGCTCCCTGAAAGAGTGACAGTCTGGGAAACTCACGGGGACAGTTCTACCCTGTCCTAGAGGGTCGCCGTGAGTCCGTGCTGTGGAGGGTGTAGTTCTTTGGTCTCCCTGCAGGCACGCCAGGGTCCACCACGCCCATCTGTGTGCCCTAGGCCCTCACCCCCCACCCCCAAGTGTGGGGACAGGCACTTTGGAGAATCAGATAAAGGCCCTGTACCTTTCAAGTGCTGGAGAAGAAGTTCATCCCGGGCCTGGCCAGCCCCAGGGTCTTAAGTTGAGGAGCCAGGGTTTCTAAACAGACAGGGGGGAGGGGGGGGGGCATCCAGTCACATTCTCCTCCACTAAGACAGGCTCAAAGACCAGTAGAAATTCCACGTCATCCTCACTGGATTTCCAGCCCCCCCTCCCGCCCCCTACCCCCATCTCTGGAGCTATTCCTGGGGGGTGACCCAGCCCCAAAAGGCTATGAACCCTTGAAGACGTGGAGGCCTGTCTCTGCTCTCTTAGGGGCCCATGGTGGTTTGGGACCCACTCTAGGACCCAGACCTGGGTTCATCTGCTCCTTGTATTTGCCCACCCCACAGTGCTCGCCTAGGGCCCTGGCTCACTCTGAGAGTAATGGCTACTGGGGACAAGGGCCGACAGCTCTGTCCCCATCGTCCCAACAGCTTATCTATCCACCCCGCTGCTCTCCTACTGTAACTGATCCACCAAGCCACCGGCTACCTTTCCATTGGCGTGGGGGGCTGGCTTTGGACTTGCAGGGGGCCAGGTTTGGCGTGGGGGAGAAAGGACCAGCCAGGGAGGCTAGGCTAACCAACTCTTTCTCTGGCCCGGACACAGGACCTAATGGCCTCTGGGAGAGGGGCAGCCCTCCGGCCCACTGCCAGGGGCGCCCCTGACCTGTCAGGCCTTTCTCCCCTCTCCCCACAGGGGCTCTGCAGATCGAGAGCAGCGAGGAGACCGACCAGGGCAAGTACGAGTGCGTGGCCACCAACAGCGCTGGCGTGCGCTACTCCTCGCCCGCCAACCTCTACGTGCGAGGTAGGGACCGCTACAGCCAGGTGGAAGGCAGGGACCCACCCCCACCCCCGCGGGCTGACAGCCTGTGGGCTCCCCCTTCCCCTGCAGACCCGAGTGGGAAGTCCCCACGCCGTGGGCGGCTGGGCAGCAGCAGACCCTGCTGGTGAAAAGGAGCCATCAGAACCACCCCCGCAGCCCAGCGGGCCCTGGGGGGCCGGGGTGGGGGTGGGGCGCCGTGACAGTGAGGCAGGGAAGGTCAGTCCTGGGCCTCCAGGGCGGGGGAGCCTGCAGGCCTGGGCCCTGCCCCGACCCCCCCTCCTCCCCCAGCCCGGAGTCAGCTTCTGTGATGTGTGTGGCCCCTGTTGTCGCTAGCTTTGCTTCTCGGAATTACGTGGCCTCGTAGC